CAGGCGCCCCCTGTTTGGAAGCTGGGGGCAAAGGCCTAGGGCCTCGGGTCTGTACGAGTGGAACTGCACCCAGGACGAGCCCCCTTAGGGAAATTGAGGGTCTGAAGCCTGGGGCGCCTCCTATCGGAATAGAATAATACTGCGTTTTTATACCCCATCTCTGAAGTGAAATCCAACACCTCCAACATCAAATCAAGAAAAGCTCCAAGGCTGGGCGAGCCAGGATGGAGACGAGTGGAAGTTAAAGAAGTCCGGGTTTTTTACTGCAGATTCTTTGGTACTAGCTCCCTGCTGACAAATCAACATCTCAATCTGACAATTAGTGGTCGAGGTGGGGGGAGAGGGGCTCTCGCCGCCTGTACCGCTTAACCCTCCCGGCGGGCGGCAGAGAGGTGGGCAGTGCTGGCAGTGATGAACGACTCCGGGGGGTGGGGCGGGGCCCCGAGCGCGCATTCATTACTCGACTGACAGGCGGGCGGCGGGCCGGGCGGGCCGCGAGTGGACGTGAGAGGAAGAAGCCTGTGGCAGGAGGGAGAGTAAGGGAGGCATTTAACAGCCCCACCGCCTGCTCAGTTCCCGGTTCTTCGCCTTGACCCTGGTACCTGACTTCCTCGAGCTCGGCCTCTCAGCTGTTCAGGCCGGCCCTGGTTGAAGAATTTGCGGAGCGGGGTCAGGGACCTAAACCCTCTCCTCAGATTAGGCGATTTAAGGTCTGAGATGTCAAGAAAGGGTGTAGACAGACCTTAGGATAAGGTATTTCAGCCCGACCTGGGAGGAATTGTGCGTGTTTGCGCACACAGAGGTGGTGTGTGTGACACGGCTTGATGGATGTGGATCTTGCGTGGGGGGTCAGTGACTGTGTGTGTCAGTGTTAGGGATGTGTCGGCCTGATTTTGTCAGTAGAGGTGTGAGTTGCGAGTGTCTGAGGATAAGCTGCTGCCTCTCCCTGCATATCTGTGCCCCCCCCACCCAACACACACACACACACACACACACACACACACACACACACACACACCACTTGCTGTCAGCTCTCTGTCTTCAGTTCTGTAGGAAATGGCAGAGTGCACAGTGACAGCTGAGGTGTGCTGTTAGGGGTTGGGGTGGGGGATAGATGTTAACTGTGAGAATGCTGGTCTGAACAACTGCTCTCTTCCACCACCTCCACCCCAAACATCATCCCTTCCCCAAGCTTCCTTAAAGTAGTGGATGTTTTTTCCCTCAAAGTCTGGAGACCCAGTTGCTGAGTCCTGGAGAAGAAAGTGGTTACTACCAGTTTTCTATAGTCCACATACTACACACAGTCTCCATCACATATACAAACAGCCTCTAATATAAGATGTGATCTCCAACCCATCTGGCTTCCCCAGGCTGGTGGAGGTCAGAGAGAAGGAGGTGGCTCTCAGGAAGAAAAGGGAAAGATCATCAGACCTCCAAGACAGCCCATCTCTTTGGTGCCTGGACAAGGGGCCCCTTACCTTTTGGATCTCAGGTCCAGTTACTAGTTGACACCTTGGGAGGATAATGCTAATTATATTCTAATTCCTCTCCTCACCTGGCTTTGTCTCCACTTTCCTCCCCCACTCTCAAACACACCAAAAGATTGAGCTTGGCCTTCTTCCCAACCCTGAATCTCCTGGGTCTACAAGGCAGAGTTGGGGTGATTTTGGATCTCTGGTCCCCTCTTTTGTTCAGCGTGCTTTCAGCCACCTTCCCTTTGCCTTGCTCTTCCTTATAGCTAGGGTGTCTATTTGGAGTCTCTATATCTTTGTTACTGCAGCTCTCCTTGTGTGTCTGCATGTCTCCACATTTAGGCATCTCTTCCAGATTAGTCTCCCTCTTTTTGGGGGTCTCTGCTCCTCTGGGGCGTCTCCCTCTGAAAATACCCCAGGGCAACAGTGAGCTCTATTGGAATGGGGAGAGGGAGTATGAATTCCTTCCTGCCCCCATTCAGAGGAGATTGCAACCCAAGGATGGCCACGCAATGTCAGGGCTGGCCATGGCCAGGTCTCTTCTCATTCCGGGCACAGGCGCCTGGTCGATGCCCTGCTGTCCGCCCCTCTCCAAGCCGCCCTCCTCCAGGCCCTCGCCCCCTCCGCCCTCCTGGAAAAGGCAAATTTGACATTTTTAAATCCCGAGCCTTAGAGGGATCGATGCGGCCCGGGGGCCCCGCCCGGGGTCGATATTCCTGATTGGGAAGCGGCCGCTGAGCGGAGCCGGGGTGTAAATCACCCGGACTGGGGGAGGGGGCGCGAGGAGCCAACTGCATCCCAGGCGCAAGGAACCAGGCAGGGTCCCGGCCCCGGTGAACCTGAGGGTAGTGGAATGACAGGCCTTAGAGACCCGGACACAAACCCGCCCAGGGGTTCCCTCCTCCCCTACCCGGCTCTGCCAACTCTGCGGGCGGGCACTGGTCTCGCTTCAGCGGCCGCCACCCTCCGTTGCCCCTGGAGCCGCCGGGGAGGCCGGTGTCGGAGCCAGCCATGCAGCGGCTCCTCTGCGGCCGCTCCCGCGGGGCCTGGGCTTCGCGGCGGCTGTCACGAAGCCGACAGGCGGGTCGGGCCGGGAAGGGGTGGGTGGCGGGGGAGAGTTGTTGGTGGGGCAGCTCTAGCTCACAGTGGGCGCGCAACAGATGTTTGCGGAATGGAGGGACAGCTAAGTGTGTGGGGCACCGAGTGGCACGAGGCCGGGGGTTTCAGGGCATGCGTGTGTGTGGGGGGGGGCAGGGGGTGCGAGTTTGGCCATTCAGCTGGGGTGAGCAGGCACCCAAGGGCGCTCTGGGGCCCAGCTGGGATAGACCCCGCTCTTCCTGTGACCGGGGTAGTAAAGAACAAAAGAGAATGGGTGAGCAGGGAAGTTTGGTGAGCCTCCACCTACAACTGCCTCTACCGCCCCTGCCTGCAATCCTCTCGCAGTTCCCTGTTGGGGAAACCGAGGAAGAGACGCTGAGATAGGCCCAGAAGGTTAAAAGCGGGATCAGCGATGAGGCAGAGGCAGCAGTCAGAATTCCCGGGTGGGTCTCTGGATTCACCTGCCTGCCATGTCCACTTGTGGGTAACACACCACCACGCCCCCAGCGCAGCTCAGACCCTCCTCTCCCGCTTCAGCTTGTCGGATCCCCCTACTCCCCACCCCACGCCAGTTTATAGAACAACAATTTGGGGAAAACAATTCGGGCCTAGTGACGGCCCCGTAATTGTGACAAAGTGAGTGCGGGCGACTGGAGAGAACGCTAGGGCGGGAGCGCGGCGGGCCGAGGCGGAGGCAGGGGCGCCTCCCTCCCGCCCTGCCGCCCTCTCGTTCTCATTCCTGTCACCTCCCATCCCTCTCCCCGACTCTTCTCCAATTCTTCTCCCGGCTCCTGGCGCCTTCCTTCGCTTGTTCCTCCATCGCTCTTTCTTTTCCTCTCGGTAACGGCCCTTCTTCCGCCCCGCCCCGCTGCAGCCCCTTCTCCGATGCGCCTTTTCCTCTCTCACTTCTTTCTCTCTCCTCCGCCCTCCACTTGTTTCACCATCTTTTCTTCGCGTTCAGGTTGCCCTGGGGCCCTGGCTTCCACCGCACAATACGCTTGTCTCCCTCCTCAGTCCTCGATTCCTGAGATCGAGCCCTGAGACCCCTCTCTGGCAGGCCAGCGCAGCCCGGCATTCCTGGGTTCCTCTGGAGGCCCAGGGTCCTGGAAGCCTGCTCCTTCCCTCCCCCACCCGCTGCTGCCTCCGATGCCCCACTCCCTGAGCCCAGAGCTAGTTTGTTTGTCCAGCGGCGCCCGCGCTGCTGGAACTGTTTGCCCAGCTTAGCGCACCGCCGCACAGTGCCGACCCAATTAAGTCTCATTTATTATTCAGCGCCCGGGTATGTCCCCACCCCCTCTAGTGGCGGCTCCCTTGTCGCTTTGGGACCCCTCCCAGTCTTGGCCCTTCAATGAGCCGTAAGGGGCAATATGGAAAGCTGCCTTCCCTCCTTCCGCCCGGATAAGGATTAAGGAGACTGGGAGAGTGGAGAGAACAGAAACACTGCCCATTGTGGGGAAGCGACTTGGGTAAGGCTCAGCAGGCTCACTCCACCCCAAATCAAGGCTGGGAGACCTTGGAGATCCAAGCTTTTCCGATACAGAGGAGGAAACAGGCCCAAGAAGCGGCGTGACTTGGCCAAGGTCACGTTACAGAATCAGGATTGGAGCCCAGGACACTGAAATGAAGGCGTCTTGCATCCCAGCTCCATCCCAGCACCAAGGCAGGAGGAAGGCAGACAATTCTCGAGCTGTGGCTTTGCTCTCCTGGTGGGATGTCCCTCATCCCCTTTGCTCCTGGTTCTCTCTCTCTCTCTCTCTCTCTCTCTCTCTCTCTCTCTCTCTCTCTCTC